TATAAATGGATGTTCTATTGGAAGAAAAGCTCACGGGCAATTTTATTAAGGAATACATCAAGTGGCGAGATGGGAAACCACTGACCAAGTTGAACTACCCCAGTTCTGTATGCATAAATAAATAAATCTTTAAAAAAAAAAAAAAAAAAAAAAAAAGTTCAAGTCTGATATCTATATTTTTAACTCTATTTTTCATTGCACAGGATCAAACTGCTTTTCTGTCACAGTTCTGCTGAATAGCTACATACAATAAAAGTCCTTGTTCTGTTGTCCATTGAAATATTAATAGCAAATAATGTTTACGTAAATGTGACACATCAAATTTTAGTGCTAATTGCAAAAGAAATCAGTATGTTAAAAAAAATAGTAGAGTGTGTTTTATAGTACAGTGGGACCAGACATGCTTTCTTCCTAGGACTGAAACAACCTGTAAGACCTAGAAATAGGGTAAATTAAGAGCAAGGTGACCTGGTAACAAGACTTCATGGTTTTGAGTTAAGAAAAATTATCAGGCCAACTTATATACCCATCTTACAACTACATTTCTCAATGAAATACCTAGTTATTAATGTGGTCAAAATGTTGATTCTGGATAGAGAACATATATATATATATGAAAATTTGAAAAATTAAATTATTACAACTTCTTTATACATATGACTTGTCAGAATTTTATGAATTCTATTGCTAAGAAAAAGTATGCTGCGCTCTCATCTACATTTGTGAGCATTTTCTGAATTGCCCCAATCATGCCCTTAGGTTTTATTTCCCATTATAATAGATACTAACTTGCAATGTCTGCTCAGGCCCCCTCTAGAGTCAGCACTGACCCAAAGACCAGCAAGCATTTCCATTTCCAACAAGCATTTTCAAAGTCACTTCATTGCTTTATCTGAATTAAAAGTCCTTGGAGAAACAGCAGATTTTAGGTCTGGAAATAACCTGGAAATTCAAAGACTCCCAAAATCATGTCAGAAGACACCTAGAGACAATTTGAACATTCTTCCTACCCTTCAAGTTATGTCATAACTTCAGGGGTATGAAGCACATCATATGTGCTTAATCCGACCCATTCATAACAATATTTAAAAGAAAAATTACACGGGACTATGGTGGTGGCACAGGGGTGATTTG